TTGTGTACAGTAATTTTGCTTTCATTATGTTTGCTTAGGTAAACTTTTTTGCTTTCATTAGGTTTGCTAAGGTAAACAATTGAATTAAAACAATTACCCTAAAAAGTTTTGTTGCCTTGTTGCACAGATTTTGAGAGTTGGAAAGACAAAGGATGAAAGCAAGAGTTCAGAAAGCTCCAAACCAGGGAATACAAGGTTAAAACGCCTGATATTGTATATGCCACAGGGTCTCTACCCCGTTGTGCATTTCAGCTTTGTACAGCTTTTGCACCTTCAGCTGTCCCACTTACTTCTACCACTTCTCAACAAAACTGTCCTCTGCCATCACTTTCACCCAGGGCAGATATTCACACTCCCAGATTACGGAATAGTTTCTGTCTCTCTATTTACAACAGCTACTGCAGCATGATTTAGGGATTTCACCAGGGGAACATACTGGTTCAGGACTCATGATGCTCAGGAGGGCTGGCATTAGTCTTGCTGACAAATCTGAAATGGAGTGCAAACCTCCCAGAGGAGACGCCAGTGGAAGGCATGTGCTATCAGTGAAACTGTGCAGGATACAAGCCTTCATCCAAGATCATCACCCCAAAATTGAAATGCCAGTTTTAAAGCCAGTAAGCTGGTGAGGAGTATTTTGTTATGTGGCATTCAGCAGAAAAGATTAGCTACTAATATACAAATATACAGAGAGGTTTTCTTTCCGACTTCAACTTGAATGTACCTATAATAGTGACTAAAACTGTTTTTTCTGACTGACCTGAAATTTAACATCAGACTCAACTCTGCTCTGCCAGATGTGTCAGGGTAACATATGGCTCTGCATTGTGCAGGCTAACAAGTGAAAAGAGGAGGCGGACTAGAACATTACAAAGCCAATGTCCTACAGTGAATACTTCTTTAAGCCTTTTATTGGGTTTGAGTCAGTATGTAACTCTGTCCTGGAGTTAACTATTAAAAAGGCAACCATTTTAGACACTGCCCAGAAATACAAGATTACAAAATGCAAAACAGGTGAACTTTGCCATCTGGAGTGGTGGAAGCTGAATACACAGTCACTTGCTACATTTAAAATGACAGCCCAATCCATGACAGGAATTACCAGGAGAACAAAATGTACAAATACTCTTTTGATCGCTTCCTTGAATCTCCAAGCTCCATGCACCCATGTTTGCCTACTATCAGGTAAGTGCTGGGTGTTTCATGTGACGGTTAAAAGGCCAGTGCTATTTTTAGCCGTGTACACATTGCAAGGTAGCAGAAATGTAGGGCAATTCACACTGGCACACCATACACAATTCTTGCCTGAAAGCACACAGCCCTCTTAACTGCTGCTTAAAGAGAGACGGCCACTGCCCTGGTTGAAAGCTGGTTTATAATATCTCTGTGTCAAAATCCAGTCCAAAAATATATGCCCTCAAATACAAGTGGCCAAGTGAAACAGATTTTTTGTCTAGGGCCCTGTTTAGGCTGACAAAGGGGTGAAACAGGGCCACCACATAACCCTCACAAGCAGCCTCCCTGTCTGTCCAACCTGAAACATTTAGTTCTGACCAATCTGTTTGAAATTGCACATTGGCTCTGGCTCCAGGTTCACACAGAATGCAGAGGGGCTCTCAGAGGGCACCAAGCTGTGCAGATCAATGCCCACCTCAGTCTCCTCCCCAGCAGCCCAGCAGCCAGGGTGAGCATTCAAGGACATAGGCTCACTAAAGACAATTTAATAGGGCTCCAAGCCATCTCTAGGACATTTTGGACAACAGGCTAACGAAAGGCATTCGATGTGTTGACAGACCATAACAGAGACTCTTTGTACACTTTTCCTTCCATAAGAACATTATTGGGCACTGGTGTCATCTCCTGACACCTGTTTCCTTCTGATAAGTTCCTCTGGTACTTAGACATGGAGGTTGTTCCAAGCTGCAGTGGAGTTGTTGTTCTACATGGAGTGGCACGAAGGAGAGACAGCAGTAATTTCTCTGGTGGCTTTGGGCAACTGAGTATCTTTTGCTGCTGGGAGGAGAGAGAAAACACAGATGTGACCACAAACTGGTCCTTGGAGCTGTCAGATGAGTCTGATGTCAGTGGAGAAGATGGCCTAGAAGGAGGATAGGCAAAGTAGCACCAGGAGAGGGAGCTGAACCTGCAAAGACAAGGTGCTGTCAGATAAATCATCCATGCACACTTTGTACACCTAGCAGGTGAAGGAATAATTGTTGTTTGGGGTAGAGCTGAAAACAATGAAATGCAGCTGGCAAAAGCACACATTATTAGGGATAAATGCTAGGATACATGTGAAATGATGAGCAAGTTGCACACTGAAAATGAAAACATGAGAATGAAAAAAAAAAATCTGTGCCTGACCTGCCATTTTATCATACTGTAAGTTCTGATTTAAGTGCAGAAATATATGTTTGAATTAGGTTGAATGGAGTTCACGCAGAGTTATTAACAGAAAGGCTCAGGGTGAGAGAGGTGATAGCTTAGTTACCTTTCAGTAACTGTCTGCAGATTATTTAAGGTCTGTAACATGCTTTAAAGATGAAAACCACTGAGTGCTTCGTAAATTAGAACAAGAAAAAATTTTCCCAACAGTGGCATCTATTAAATTACAAAATAACCTCTCCAGGGAAGCCTCAGAAGTATTGTCACTAAATAAATTTAAAACTGAACAGCTTGAAATGTGTTTACTGCAGGAAAGAGACCTGCATTTGCCCCAGGGAAAAGATATGAAATGTCCTAAGGCTTCAATAGTCTTTTATCTCCATTTTTTTATCACTATTTCCTGATGCACAGGGGAGAGACATGATTATTTAAACTCTTTTTTTCCCTCTGGAGCTGTCTAGTGAAATGTGCTGACAGGTACTATCCATCGACTCTGTATTTCAGGTAATTCACAAGGCAGACAAGTACAGGGACCCAGATTCTTTGACAAAAACCACGCACATGCTGGAGGAGGAGACAGCTTCTCTTTGAGACCAAGACAACTTGCCAGCCTTTGTCATTTTCAAGGCAGACCAGAAAAAATTTTACCCAGACACACATCCAGACAGATGCACACAGCAAGCAGCAAGCAACAGTTTAGTCAATCCTAGGCTGTCATGGGATGCTCAAAACAAAAGGCCTTCTCTTTTCTCTTATGGTCCTACTGCATCTGGTCTGTGCAAAAAGAGCAGCTGTCTTCTCTTGCTATCACTGACAAGAGCCAGGATGGAGGTGGTTTATATTGACAGTGGCAGAGGGAGGGGCTGGGACAGGAGGAAGGAGAACGGGAACCTAAAGAGCTAAGTCAGCTGGTAGAAGAAGGGATTCAGACAATGCCAATGCCAACTTTTACACAGCAACAAGAAGGTCAGCTGTTTTGGGTCTGATTTCCCATTAGCTCAAAGCTACATCCATATCTGGGATGGTTACGTATCGCAGCCCCTATCCTGTGTGCACCTCAGAGCTGCTGCATCTGCCCTAAAATACTACGGAGCAGGCTACAGGCTCCGATGAGTTTTTTTATAGCCTCCAGGTAAGTGCCCTGTGAGCCCTGAGCGGCACTGTCAAGCACGATTTGAGTGAGTCACAGGGCGGTGGCTTTTATGGTGAGTAGCATATACGCTGGAGGAAGTTCCTTCGACTGTGTGACATGAGGCTCAAGTGTGGGCAGGCCTTTAAGGAGATGCAGCTCCTGCCTGACCAACAGAACTGTTCTGTGGCTCAGCAAGAACGAGAGATGACACGATGGCAGACACTGTTTGAGGGACGGAGGTTTAATCCAACACAGATGATGCCATCAAGAACAGCAGGGAAGATAATAAAATGCACTTCAACTATTTTTCTTAACTTGTACATATCTTCAATACTTCTATTAAACTACACTTGCTCTCCTTACTTGATTATCTGTAGGTTTTTACAGTAAATGGGAATTACAGGGGAAAATAAAAATCCAGAACTAATTTAATGTTATTACTGAGATACGTGGAGTATACAAAAGTTCTTTTCAATAGTACCCACATGGATCCTCAGCATAATTACTTTACTATGAAGTTGTCTGCTTAGCAGTAAAGGGCTCGTACGTTTTCCTCTGTATTCAGCAGTATGTCAGATGTTGTACAGATATTCTTCAGACATGAAGATGCTTGCAGGCCACATAAAACTTCAAGGCAGCAGGAGGAGAAAGAGAAATATAAATTGAAACCCCTCAAATGACATCCTCACTTCCAGCTACATTCTGCAGGCCAGTTGGCAGCACATGGGAGTCAGGTAAGAGTTTATAAACTCCATTTCCAGAGGCAATCAGAACAAGTAATGCCAAGGCAGACAGGAGGAAAGACACTGGTCTCTTCACGCAAGATACTTTGGTATGACCTGCCATTACACAGTCCTTAATAAAATTTTGCTATGCAGCATTGGCAAGAGCTAATGAGGATGTCTGGCCACTGTCTCACCTTGTTTAATAATCTTCATGGGGTTTTGAGATAATTTACCCAATCCTGCAATTTGTAAACCAGTCATATGCTGTTGGTAAATCCAAATCTCCCATCACTGCTTGTCCTACTTTCCAGGACAAAGTTCCAGTACTACAGTACAAAGTTGCAAGCCAAGTATCGCGATTCAGGGAAGAAATCTGAGCTGCAGCTCAAAACCCAAGATGCTTGCAAGGGGAATATTTGATGCGGAAAAAAGATCCCACATTTCAAGACCTTTGCAAGTTTGACATCAGAAAGCAATCCAGAACTCTACTTCTCAGAGTACACAGGTACTCAAAATGCTTATTTCACCATGATACCATTTTCATGCTGTATCTTAATGGGAAATTACTTGATAGCGAACAGCAGCACTATCAGAATTAGAATGATAGTCTCTTTATATTGACTCAAATTTGTCATTAAAATTCAAAGGAAAATTTCCCTATCGGAAATTTGACTGATGTACTAGAAGATTTTTCAAGCAGTATATTTAAACCAAACAAGAAAATTATGGCATATTCCAATAAATCCACCAGATTGTTGTAAATTACATATAAAAATGTTTTTTAAATAGAGGCTTGTTTTATGATAAGGTATGTTAATATTCATACTTGCTCAGGAAACATAAAGTCACAGCATATGTGCCAAATCTCATTATAAAAGCATATGATTCAAATCATATCCTAAAAATAACAACAAATTTTGTATTATCACAAGTTTCTTGTAGCATACTGATGTTATAAGGCAAAAAAAGATACAATGCATTCTTTGAATACAGCTTCATAAATAACTGAATGAGATATTTACTGTAGGCAATGGACGAATCAATAACAAACAACTTCTCAGCTTTTCTCTTAAAAACAAATGATTCACTCACATTCCTTTCCTCCAAAAACAAGTGACGTAAACAACTTTGCTATCAGTACTTCAATAAGCTTTGGGAAAACATCCTGAGTAAAAGATACATATTTGAGTGAAACAGATAAATCATAGGGATGCCTTTTCAGAGTTTTATTACATTGTTTCACCTCCTACGGATCAAGTAAGCTATTCATTTTCTTGTAAATAAATGGCTAAGGAAAACACGTAGTATTGACTTTAAGGAATTTCTGAGCAATTTTACTGCCACAGCTTCTTGCTTAGTATTCTCAATGTGTGATGGCTATCTTTTAGGAAGACATTTGGATGCACACAAAAGTCCTGGTATGGCAAAAAAGTCACAACTTGTGAGTGAAGCCAGTTGTTACTGTCACTGAATCTTTAACTTGCAATCACTGAATTTTTAATCTAGATCTAATTATCTAGATCTAGATTAATTATTGAATTAATTAGATCTAGATCTAATTATCTAATCTAGATCTAATTTAGGAGAAAAAAAAAAGAAGAATGCTATTAAGTCTCAATAATGACAAAGGTGAAATTGTAACACACATCTCTTAGTATCTACCCTTTTTCTGCTTTATACTCACCTTGTCACTGCCCACCTGAATCCTAAGGTGGCTGGCCTCACACCATATATAAGATTTTATGTACACTGGATACTTTCTCTTCGTTACACTTAAAACCAGTTTTATCCAGTTGTCAGGTCTGCCTTTATTTAACTATTAGTCAGTTGACCACTGATTCATTGTTTATAGCCCTCTACTGACATTTCAGATCTGTATTCTGCAGTGCAAGCAGTAGCTTTCCTTTTGAGCCTCTGTCATGATATGTTTATTATCCTCCATGCCACATCATTTTGCTAGGGTCCTGCATTCTTCATTCCACATGAAATAACTGCTTGTCATTCTCAGCTAAATAAAAATCATGGTTACATCACATAACTGTACAAACCTAAGCAAAAGCGGAGCAAATTGTGTAACAGTCACCTGTTCATTAGGAAATTGCCATTGCAGCTAAACAAGCTAAAGCAAAGCCCCAGGCAGGCCAAGACAAGCCCAGACAAAGCCCGAAGTCCTGAGGTCTCGCAGAGCTCTTGCAAAACCTCTGTCCTGTTACAAACAACAGCAATGTGTGTTACCATGAATACAGTAAATACTGAGCTACAGGGCTACACAAAGTTTGGGTGCATGACAGCCTACAAATGTAGTTCATCCTTGAAAAGCTTTATCTTAGCACATAGTCACAGCCAGAGACAGGAACTGGGGTCAACTAGCCTCCTCTTTGCAATCACTTTAGTCTCACTTGGAAGTAATTAACTCATCATAATTATTACTAACAATTGTATCTGTCCTGACCCAGCTGTGCTAATTGGTAACTCTACTATTTCCTTCCTACCTCAAAGAAAGTTAGCTTGCTTTAAAGGTGAAAAAGCTTATAAGGTTTCTTTTGCTGGTGACTGGCTTTTCCATCTACTTTAGCCCAGTCAAGAACATATAGGGAAATGTTTCTTTCTCTTCACAGAGGACAAGGACCTGGCTTAATGCTAAGCCACAAATGGGCCCTGAGACCTAGGAGCCAATTTAATTAGGTTCTATTCCTGGTTCTTCTGCAGTTCCTTGCATGACCTTGAGGAAGTCACTGGTAATCTGTGACACAGGGCTGATGTTTATCCTAATAAATTGAGGCAGTATTGTCCCTTAAAATGTTACGCCAAAGCAGTTCAACAGCTATAGATAAAATGTGCCATTTAAATGCATGCTACTATTTTATTATCCACAAAAGTCACCTCCAAGCCAATTTTGTCATTTCTGACATGGACCCTTTTAACTTGCAGTGAAATGATGCATCAGCCCTGAACGCTAGATCCCAGTGAACGTCACCTGAAGCAAGCACTGTGTGTATGGATGGATGAGTTGCAAGAAAGAAGTTTCCCTACCTTCCTTAATCCCATTTTCAACTGCAACTTAATCATACTTTGGAAGTGAACATTGGGATGCTGTGCTTTTCATCAGCATTCTTCTGGGAGAAGCCTAGAACAAAAAAAGGAAGAAGGAAAAAAATCATAATACTTCGTGCCATAGCTCTTTTATATTTATTCACTCTGTCCTGACCCTGTCAGCTTCAAAATACCTCCTGCTGGGCAGCTCCCCTATGGCACTCTTAGAGCAACTCCTATGCCTCAGAAACATGTCCTTCTTGTGCTCACTTCTCTTATTTTTCATTTTAGACCAGACTGAATAGAACTTTGAAACCAACAAAAATTCACCTATGTTTAATTCAAAGTTCAAGGTCACAAATGTCCAATTTAATGGACTTTCAGGGAGGATTTTCTCAAATTCTTGGTTCCTCCTATCCTTAGTGATCCCAGGCCCTGATCATACTGTCATTTCTACTGTGCTCTAAAACAAAAATAAAGATATGCCTATATTCACAATTACTCCTCACCCTTTCCTACCATACAAGTTTTTCTAGGAAGAAGCTTGTCAAAATATGCTTAGGTTTTCTACCCACCAATACTTGAAAATAAACTCTTCATCGGGCCTGCAAGTCAAGTGGAGTCTTGGAGTCACCACAGGAAAAAACCCACAACCCCCAAAAAAACCCCTCACAAATGTTTGTTTAGGAGGGTTAGACTCCCTGCTAGGCTCAGTGGAAGGTTACACACATTGCTGTAAGCACTGAAATACTACCCCATCCTGTGTTCTGCACTGTATCCTGGTGCTTTATGCTGCTTCTGAGGTATACCCTTCAGGTCTATGGGCACTGTTACACATTCATGGACTTTCATAAATTGTAAAAATCATAGCAACTGTACATTAATTATTTTATATCTCAGATTTATGGTGATCTTTGTAAAAAGACGATGTGCAAAGCATCCTTTACTGTATCATCTAGGAGAAATTATGTCAATAGGTGATTGTTTCTATTATTATTATTGTGGGCTGAGTCTAAGAGTTTTCTCAGTGAAATTATTTTCTTTGTCTTCCAAATACCCTAATGGTATTAATCTCCTCTTTCTTCACAATAACTCTCAAAATTACCTTCTCTTTTTAGGGTATTTGTCATCTCCAACTGCTAAAGTTAACCACCTTAATCTATATGCTCCCAAACAAATCTATTATCTCAGCACAGAAGCATTCAAAGCACAAAAAGCAGAAACTTCAACTTTCATTCATTTTGCTCAAAACCAAACGATTCCTGAGGGCTGCTCTCAAATGGAAACAGTGCCCGATTCAGACACTCCCATGTGTTTTTCTTTACTAGAGTTTATATACCATTTTGCTTTCCAGAACACTTTCTCTACTTTGTTTATGACACTTAATGAAACCAGGCCTGCACAGAGGGAGGGTATTTAATGTTGCAGCATACAGAGTACTCAGCCCATGCTAGCCTGTTCAGCACTGCATATTTCTAGCATTCTTTCCAATTTATTTCTAAGTACTCCTATTCAAAGCTCTTCTATAATTAGGCCAAATACAATCAATTCATAGAGCACCATTGTTTTCCCATGTTTCAAAGGAGTTGTCCAGGGCTGTTACACACTCTGAACTGATTGAGCATGGGGATTACTTTATCTCCAGGGGAGATGATGATCAGCATTTCCCACCCAGTTCCTGAGCCCTCTTTACTAATTTATCTTAATAACATCTTTGTGCTTTGACTCAGAAGGAAAGAGATCAAAGAAGAGAACAAGGCAGGCATACTCTCAAGATTAAAATTGGCCAGAGGCAATCAGCAGAGCAAGTAAACAGCTCTTTAGCAGTTAGAAAAAACATGAACATTTTTGCGCTCCTGCAAGCCTTCTCCCAGTTAGCTTGGGAGGCCACATCTGTTGCTCATGCTATTTCTTCTTGTCATCCCACTCCTATTGCCCTTTATCACCCTTGAACTTCATTAACAAGTAACATTACAACCAGCCTTCTGGTTCCTTAACAAGACAGCCCAGAACCATATTCCTTAAGGAAACGGGGTGATCTTACAATTACACCAGGTTTCTCTCTAACCCTGAGCCCCAGCATGCTGAGGAGGACTCACATGTCTCTGAGGTGTAGTGCTCAGTTTCCTCAGGATACCATTTGGGGCTTTAAGGGTCAAGGTATTCCAGTGTTTCAACACTATCCATTTCAGTTTGTCAGAAATAGAGGTCTGAGCACACAGTAGGTGGAGGAGCTTATGTTCTATCTGACATTTGATACACCTCACTTGGTACTTTGCAGTCTCTGATGGTCCTCTGTGTTCTCATCTCTCTGAGAAATGAAATTGCTTTGCTGTAACGTGGCTCCACGTCACATATTGAACAGGACAATGTAATCAGAAGGAAAACGAGAAAGAGATCGCACTCCTTGTCTTTCTGTATGGGAGCCTGAAACATAACTCCTGCTTATTTTCTTGACTTTCATACTGAGAAGATAGAATTGATGCAAAGGAGCACTCCAAAGTGTACATTTTAGCTTCCGCTGGAGCTTGATTTTTAAAGTGGGCTTTTCTCCCAGTGAGCTCAGGAGCCACTGCAATCTAGTTTAAAAGTGATTTTACTTTTTCTTTTTTTCTTTTTTTTTTTTAAATCAATGAGCATTAGGCCTATCCTGTGCATTCATCTTGCTTAAAGCCAGAGGTGGACAGAAGCAATTCAAATCTGATTGAAAATCAATGCATACAAATACAAGATCATGTGGCCTGGGAACAAGAGACACAGTTGCTGTGGAACAGGGAGTCAGATCCTGCTAAGCAGCAGTTCTGAAAATGACATAAGAGGTCACAGCAGAGCAGCGCCCTGGTGTCACTAGCACCATGCTATAACAAGAGGAACACTGCTGCTACCCATGTGGTAGCACACTGAACAGGTACACCCTCACTATTTGGTGGTGATGAGGCTGTTGCTGACATGCTTGAGCCCAGACCTTGGTTTTGAAGTACTGGAGATGTGGGAAAGACATTTGAAGTTTGTGAGTGCTGTCAGTTTTGTAGGTCCTCTCATCTTTTCTCTCTTCCCCAAGCCTTGCGCACACGCAGGTGCCTTCCCTGCTAACAGTCAACTTGTAATGCAGCCCAGTACCAGGAAACAGAAGACTCCAGGCATCTTTTGAAGAATGACACATTGGGCAGGTGCAGGTATTCTTGTTTTTCTGAAAGGCAGAGACCAGTTCAACCAGTCCCTTCATACCTGCTGCTAAGAAAAGCAAAAAGAAGAAAGCCAGCACTAGTCCAAAGGAAGTGAGGAATCCTCTCTCCACAGGACTCCCTGATGAGTGCTGCACACCAGAGCTCTGCTGTGACACATATCTGGACAAAGACAAGCTATGCCTAACCTGGGAAGCTCTAAATAAGAAACTAAACTTCCTCCTGGGTCACAACCTTACTAGAGACCAGAATTTGAGAGGTCCTTCATGAAAAGCCTGTCACAGTGCTGGAAGGCAGCTCCCACAGCACAAATGATGACGAAGTGAGGAATAGAGTCCCATGCCATGTACAGGACCTGGGTTCAGCTCCATTCCATCACAACCTGCTATCATGGTTGAGCCATCACTGACCCTAATGTTTCCTTAAAAAAAAAAAAAAAAAAAAAAGGTCATATTTTTATCTTCCTTGTATGTAGTACTGCTCTGGAAAAGTTAACTTTTGTCTCTATAGATTTTATTCCTCACTCACGTTCATCTTTCCTACAGGTGAAAGTAGACCAGAAATGTAGAAACACTAATATAAAAATGTTGTCTTCTTGAAACCACTTCTGAGAGCTAAGGAATAGGAAGTGTACGGCCATTGCTTTTTAACTAGCTAAACATCCAGGCATTGTTGGGTGTGGGAGGGACGGGGTTTATCAGCTAAAATGCCTGTCAGATTTATTGTGATATGCAGGGTTCTGCCACTCGTGTAGAATCAAACAGCCATGGGCTCTTTGGAGCTACAACCAGGCTGACTGGAGCTTCTACAGAATGAGATGATCAGCCCTAATTACAATTGTCCATTACAACCCAGCTTTAATCTCCATACAAGGCATGTGTCAGCCCTATTTAACCAGGGAAGAAATTGGGCAGAGATGAAGCCAGGATAATTAGTTCTTCTCTCTCCCCTTGACATCCCATTCATGGGAGTATTTACAGAACACAAAAGTGATCAGCAAGCTTCTTAAGTCCAGAGAGTAACACCAGATGGGTCAGCCACACCACTGGCACAAACAGAGAAATTGTACCCTGCTCGTGGCCTTCGTATGGCTGTTTCACTCCTTTATGTGGAAACGTGGACTGTGTCTCACTTCCTACAAGGCTGGCCACACTCAGGCTGGGGAAGGTACATTATCTTTCAGCTGCATCACCAAAACTGAAAAAACAAAACAAAACAAAACAAAAAAAAACCCACAGAAACTTTAATTTTTCCATCTTTCATCATTCCTAAAAGCTGCATAAGTTTTGCTCTGTAAGTCTTGTACCATAAGGTGTCTTTCCCAGATGTTGGACTATTTTTATGGCACTTCCTTTATATCTCAGTAACTTGTGTCACTAAACACAAATGACAACACTGAGGAAAGTTGTCCTCAGCAGTGTCTATACAACGGGAAGGTCACTTCCTGCTAAAATCAAGGTGTATATTTCTGTGATATAAAGCTGAAACTGATGTTTCAGTCACCGTGGGTAGGGCAATCTGAAGAATAGGCAAGATCTTTAAAAGATCTGGTTGGGCTGCCCATTTTCTGAAACATAGTTGTTCGTAACATTTTCTTGGGAAATGCTGTACTTAATAGGTTTTCTTTCCAGTGTGAAAAGTGGTCCTCAGAAAGTCGTGTAAGCTTTAGACTTCTTTTCCCTACGGTATTAGAGAAAATAGGAGAGAACAAGGAGAAAAATTAAAAAGTCAGTAAACTGGAGGGAAAAAGTATGAAAAAGCTTTCTACCCTGAAGAGCAACCAGAAGCAATTTGCAGTGACAGTTTTGGGGGTTTGGGATTTTTTCATGGAAGTCATGTGCTTGGATCTTGTAATGCCAAATAGTGATGTGATATGTCGGACAGCTCTACTGGATAACACTTTTGCAGTATAAACTTTTGCAGGTAAATTCCCCTTGTGTGTTTGTGGGCATAAATTCTCATTCAGGGTTATGTTTTTCCAACCTGTTTTGAATTCTTCTGCTTTTTGAGAAAATAGAATTGAAACAAACATCCGGCACTTTATACTCCTCCTTCCCTTAACATTATTAAGGAAAGCAGAACAGCAGTACAAACGAGAGCCATTAACTTTAGCGTAATATGCCAGGTGCTGGGTGGTTCAGCAGCTTCAGAGGAGGTAAAAAAAAGGGGGAAGGGGGAAGGCATTGTAGAAAACTGACATCTTTTTAGGTGGAAATATCCCGCCCCGAGAGCCGCTCCGCCGGCTGCGCCCCGGGCGGCCGTTATTCCCTCATGGAAGGGAGGCCGCGCGCCCCCTCCCCCGCGCGCGCGGAGGGGCCGGCGGCGCCACCTGCCGCCCGGCGCGCGCTCCTGCACCCCCACCGCTCCCGGGCCGTGCCGGGCCGGGCCGCCTGGGGAGCGGGGGCAGCGCTCGGCCGCCGGACCCCCTTCCCTTCCCTTTCCTTTCCTTTCTCTTCCTTTTCCTCGGTGATAAAACCAGCACGCGGGCCGTCCGCCACACGGAGCAGCTGCCTCCCTGGCCGGCGCCACCGTCGTCTTCTCGGGATCGGCGATGTTCGCTGCAGCCCACCCGAAACAACCCCCACCAGCGCGGCGTTAACAGCCACGGAACGATCTGATCAGCTTTTATCCAGGGATTTGCAGTTTTACCTCAAATGCACCTTTATCGCATGAAGTTGCCCATCCATACCTTCAAGCCACAGCTTCCTGGGTTTCTTTTTGTTTTGGTTTGTTTT